CATCAGTACTACCCAAGGCATGAGTGACAAAAAGTCTAAATAAACCATGACATTTATTTTCAGCCTGAAATACCACAAAGTCTAATCCCAGTGCACTTGTGCCATATGATCATTAGAGCAATTGTGAGTAGTAGCCAGCCTTAAAAAGAGTAAGAAATTCACAGGAAAATACTCCAAAGTGGGGATGGGCACTGCTCCCATTTTACAAGAATGTTGCTTGTGCTCTCACCAGGCACGCTATTTTTGTTGTTAGGAGAATGGGGATAATTCATGTTAGTTATTGCCTTTGATCTATGACAGGGTATTGCAGACTTCTTACGGTTAGTCTTCTGCCCTTGCTGCCTCAGTGCTGTCTGATCCCACTTTGCATAATGCTACCAGACAAAGGGCATGGACTACATCTTTAAATACTAAATAGGGGTAAATTTTAGTGTCCCATAAAAGGGAAATATCAGTGCAAAAGTTGACTTAGCGCTACTAATTTCTCTAGGCCATGGACGGGCAAAGATAGACCCTTGGGTTGGATATGGTCTTCCAGGGTTAGTCCCTAGCAGGCCCCCACTTCTATATTTGCCTGTGCCTCTGCAGGTATCAGTGATCGCAGCTCCCATTGGCCAGGGATTTCCTGGCAAGTGAAAACTGCGGGAAGCTGTGTCCTAGTCTGCATTGCTTCCTGCTGTTCACATTGGCAGAGGACAGTGATTTGCGGCCAACAGGAGCTGCAATAGCTAATACCCGTGGAGACGAAGGTAAATATAGTGGTGTCAGCCTTCCAAAGGCTGACCCTGGTGAAATGCTGCTGTTTTATAAAAGGCTAGGTCTGGGACATCACTGTCTATCATTAATATCTTGAAATTGGAACTAAAAGTGAGTCAAATAAATACAATAATGATGTGGAAGAAACATCTGATGATCTTGGAGAAAAATATTCAGGAACAATGCTTCCTTCCATGAAGTTTACCCCTGAAAGGCTGAAGAGGTCTGTATTTGCATGGATTAGATTTGTAATTCCTGACTGGTATATGAAAGCAGATGCTGGGAAGCTTTATTTCTGCATTCAAACTTCCACGATAACTTTTATCTTGTGAATCATGCTTGAAATTCTTTCTTCAGGATTATGTCTGTCTTCAAGCCTCCAATGAAGTTATTTCTGGGAGTGGGGGTGGGGGGGTTGACCCTCTTTTTTCTTTTCCCTTTTCCTTTTTCTTTTTCTTTCTGCCCTTGCTTCTCTAGAGATGTCACCATGTTTTATGATCCTGACCTAATAAACCAACTCAGCAGTGTGCTCAGACATCCCACATACTTGGTAATGTTACCTACCTTTAGGGTGACCCTCTGCAAATCTAAGGGCTGTCTGCCCACACCTACAGGTTTTGCAGGTCCCAAAAGCTTGCTCTATCCATTCCTGGGGTCCCCATCAAACCTTAGATTTTGTATTCTAATTCCCGCCATCATTACACCATACTGATGGGTCAGATTTTTTCATTAAATAGAATATAAAACTTCTTAGCTTTATAAATATTCTTTTCAGTCTTCCCATGCTTCTGGAAACTTCTGATGTGTGTTCAGTCATACACGTCACACACGTTAAATTAAGCATTCAAAGGCACTATGTTAATTCACATATTAACAGTGTGCTGCTTAGATTCTCAAAATAGCACAGTACACTGGATGCTGAGAACTTCTGAACATCTATCCCGAAGGGTTGCCATGAGCTCAGTGTTAGTACTTTTGAAAAACTGTCCCAACAAAAGAACAGAACAGGAGTTTTAGGTAGTCCACATCTAAACAGGTTTTCCTGACCACCTCCCAGCTCATCAATGGCCTGTTTGCTAATGTACCACAGTCTGCAGCAGCTATAGTTACCTTTACAGAAAAGTAAAGTAGATTGGTATCTAGATATCCTAACTCTTTGATTCAATGTGTTTTGTAACTTTGAAAACAGTAATTTGGCTATTATTGCTTTTGATCTTTTCATCTCCTCCCTTCCATTCTCTTTCTCCCTTTAAGTGCGCATGCTTCCCTAGCCTTTAATCACTAGTTCCCTAGTATTTGCAGTCTGGTTCCCTTTTCATGCTGCCTAGTTTTTTGTTTTTTTGTTTTTAAATCTCGTGCTGCTCCCTTTGTTGGTGGGTTTTGCTCCTCCTTGTGACTCCTGGCTCCAGTTCTTCTGGACTCTTGAACATGAATGGAGCTTCAGGCATGCTGGTGATATGGTGACAAACATGTAAACAAGGGAAGTTGGCACTAAATGACGTAGCAACTCATAGTGAACCACAAGCAAATGCTCCATGGATCACCAGATGTCAGTGAGTCCCAGTATGAGAGCCACTAGTTTAACAAATCCTTGGCCACCAACCATAGGTGCTGAGTGTGTTATTTCCCCACAAGTGGTCCTATCCTTGCTCTGCTCCCTCCCAAGGCTCTCCTGTTTGCTGCTCTTCACCCTTCCCTTCTATCCCCATTCTCCAGCCACCAAACAGCTGATATGGGGTGCTGCTAAACAGTTGTGGTGGGTGATGCTGAGCACCCACTATTTTCCCCATGGGTGCTCCAGTCCCAGAGCACCCACAGAGCACCTTATGCCACTATCAATTTCATAGTTGTAATTGCTGCATATTATGGCTAGTCAGAACTTTGGATATACAGGCCACCAAGCACATGAGCTAAAGGAGAATCCTAGAATGCATGACCTGTTCCTGATTGCTGAACAATTCGAAGTCTACCCTTGCCATTATTATCATCACAGAATGAGTGAGTATTCTTAAATACCAGTTTCATATACAAGTCAAATATATTAAATCTAGGGAGGTTATATGCCACATTTCTTACTGACTTCACAACAGGCCTAAAGGGTCAAAGGACTAAAGGCCTCAATGTGCACAGTCAAAGTATAAATCTTATATTTTAGCAAATTTATTTTGAAGAGTGTGACTGAGAGCCAGATGGCTTCATTTGTAAGATAATGGGCTGAAGAATTATAGCTAACTCATGGAATTTGAATGAAGATTCTTAAATCATGAATAGCAAATGATTATTATTTTATAGCTGTTGCCATATTTCCTTTGCTGTTGCAAAAAAATTAATGCCCGAAATAGTGTTCTCTCTGCCATTCCTTGATGTGGGCTAGTCCTCCCTGACGTGTGCAGGATTGGGTCTGTACTTTGCAGCAAAGTTTCTATCAACACCCTTGTTTTAATGGCACTGGCCTGTTTAATTAGTGATTAGAACATTTCAAATTCTGCAGCGTTCTGAAAAATACCATCTGAACCTGGTGACATCAGTGGACAAAATCTTGCCGTCCTTCAGAACTCTTGTTTGAAGTTTTGAGTATTTGTGTAAGGACAGAATGAAGACCTTGTGTTTTGTCTCATAGGAAATATGAGAGATTTTTGTTAGACCTGAAAAGTAATTTTGAGATATGACATGAATAATGTAGAGAGCAAAATTTGGACTGGGTGATCTAAATAGCCTCTATGCCTTCCTTATCTATGGGCCAAATCTGCTTCTGCTCAGTCCTGACTCAGAACTCATTGAAGTCAGTGAGAATTAGCACTAAGTAAGGACACACTAATGAGTTCAGGATTTGGCTAAGTGCCTCCATGACCATGCTTCAGAGCTGCTGTTATTTTGGTACTTGGAATGGGCTGTTTATCTGTTGGAAAGTTTCCATTCTGTTTGCCTTAAGGTAAAGGTTATATAATCAGAGCAGAAATATTGAATGGTTCTTGTTTTAAATGACAGACACAAGATTGTGTGCAGTAATCTAGATTGCAGAAGGGAGCCTGGCATGCTATTGTTTCATGCTGAGTTGTTTGAACACATTGAGAAGGGTGTTTTACTTACAGTTAGACAGAAGGACCACTTGAGATGCAGATTTCTCTGCAACAATTTTGGCTAGCATTTCAGTACTGCAAACAAGCACTTGCGAGGTGTGTAAGCATTATCTGATCTTTCTCTGCTTCGCTTCTCAATCCTCTGGTAGCAGTTGATGTTCTAGCACTCTTTTTCCAACCCCTTTTCTAGCACAATATTGCACAGGCACTGCTTTGTAGAGAAACGAGCAAGGAATATTCAAGGGGCATGGTGACTCATACACTTTGTCCAGGGGTGAAATGAAGGGTATCATTATAGCAACAGAAGTCTGGTACAAGAGAGTAGAAATCATTCCTTAGTTAAAGTATCCTTTATACAATGTGGCAGGTTGGATACACAAACTTTTTTGTTTTGGTTATTTGGCTAATTTGCATTCTATAATATTTATAATAGAAATATGTACTGTACTCAATATTTAATTTGCACCAGTGCTGAGCTCTGGCATCTTTAAGATGGGTCATTCAGAGCCCCAGGCTGCATCTCTGGTCATCTTGCATCTGTTATGAATGTAAAAGAATGACATGAATCCCAACAGTTCTATCATTACAAATTAAGCATTGACTGTACAGGATTGTGTGTGTGTGTGTGTGTGTATTGATCTGTTGGCAAGTCTGATTATTTTGTATAGGTCTGAGCAATGGTAACTGTATATAGATGTTTTTGTTTCCATGTGGCTTTTTTTTAAAGAAGACCTACCCACATATCCTCTTCCACATAAATATACTGACATAAAATGTTACTCTGGATATATAAAAAGCATGATGTTGGTAGAAGTATTCTGTGTTCTTTTGAATTGTTCACGCAAGCTCATTTTAACATTTTACTCAAAATATATTTCAATGGTCTAATAATCTGTCTTGGTGTACTGCATTTTTGAATATCTGTCGTCATACCACAATGAATATGGATGATTAAAATTATTGGCCATAATTAGTGAGACATATGATGTTGATAAAGTAAAAGATACTTTTAGTTTAATTGGTAAAAGGTATGAACGTATGTATTAGCTATAAAGCCACATTTGATTTTAATTACAGCTGTTCGTGGCACATGTGATCTTTATTAGTGTTTATTTTAGGATGATATTAATATTTCCTTCTAAGTCATCTTCATTTTGTTCACAGGATTGAAAAAGCGTACAAGGAAGGCCTTTGGAATACGGAAGAAGGAAAAGGACACTGATTCCACGTAAGTCTGTGCAATACAACTTTAATGCATTTGTGAATGGCTGAAATGTTTATATTAGGAATGTTAAATCTAGTTTAATCAACTGGTCGACTAGTCAATGGATTTTTCAATTGACTAGTTGATTAGTTGATAAGCAGGGAGTGCCAGTGGGGTTAGCTCCGGGCCCGGGTTTGAAACCTGTTGGCTCTTAATACATTTAAAAGGCTAAAGCACAGCATGGGGGACCCAGTGCCAGGGGGGACAGCTGATTCCTGGCTCACGCAGGGCCCCATCTGCCTTGCACCAGCCTTTTAAATGTATTATGAGCCAAACAGTACCAGTACATTGTAGAAGTGCTGCGTTCACTTGATGTATGCAGCATACATTACTGTTCAAAACTGGCAGTGCAATATTGAACAATACATGTTAAAATATTTCCCTTAGCTAGGGGACAATGTTGGCATAAGAACCAATAGCTATAAACTGGCCATGAATAAACTTAGGCTGGAAATTAAAAGGCTGGAGGTTCCAGAATAGACTTTCGCAAGCAATAGTTGGATAAAGGAACCTAATTAGCTTGAAGGGGGACCTTGACAAATTTATCAACAGGGGTAAGACAGGATTGTGTGCAATAACAAAATACTGGACTCAATAAACCAGGAGATCCATTCCAGTCCTATGTACCATGTTCATATTATTCTAGAATCCAAATGAACGAGATGCATGCTCCCTGTCTAATGTTGAAGGAACGATTTATTTTAATGAATTTTTCAAAATTGTGGTGGTGGTGTGGTTTGCAAATTAAAGGATTGTTACTGCTGAGGGTAACTCTGCCAGCTTGTATGTGTTCTGCTCAGAATCGTCTTTAGATTCACCATCCATTTCAATATGCTGTCTTAACAGGCCAGTCCTTGGAATAATAAAGCACTCAAATGGCTTTGTGTTTATACACTTCCAGAGGTAGTTAAGGCTCAGGAAGAGAATCAAGGTGATGTTTCATTGCTGGGGGAAGGTGGTGATGCTCATGCATAATAGGATTACCAATTCTTAAGGGCTCTTGCTGTTAAGCTGGTTTTGTTTTAAGTATTGTTTTCATTTCATGAAAAACACTGTTTCTGCAGTCACTTAGAGGAATTGGCATTTATTTTAGTGTACTCCTTTCCAACTATATGATGTGCTACTGCTGCAACATGCTCTGCGCTTCTTATAGCATTCTAATAAGTGTATTTTCGAAGAGTTTTAATTGAAAACATACCATGTTCAACTAGCAACATAAATAAAAAAGCAACAGCAGAAGGATACACAGAATGTCACTTGCTATACATTTGATTGTATAGCAGCCACCGGAGGAGTGCTAATCTTATGGAACAAAGGGTTGGTGGAGGTAAGGGTAGCAGTAGGGAAATAAGGGTTCTCAGGTGTGCTTAGCTTTTGGCAATGGATTAATTCATATCTTTTTCCCAATAAAGTGTTTGTGTTTGTTTTTGTTTTGTTTAAAAAAAGGACATCTTGGATATTTCTGAGCCCATAAAATTGGGCAACTGTCTGTGTACTCAACATCCTTTCAGTCTTCCAGGGCAGTCACCTCAAAAAAAGGAATGATACTGAGAAAACTTGGACAGGCAGCAACATTAAGTGACTGCATGGATTGTAGTACTAATTATCAGTGGCACTCTGTGACCATACCCAGTGATTCCTGGACAGATTGTGCTTTTGACTCACCAACCTCCTTCTGACTTCCACCTAGTGAGGAATATCTTAATCTGCAGATGAGGCAGGCACCATGGGAATCCTGTTACAGAAATCTGCCCAACAGATGCACTGATTCAAAGCATCCCTAGCTTCCCTAGCCATGGTACTGACCAGTTTCCCTTCCCTGGGATGAAAGGGAGGTTGTGGCTAATTAGCATCCTCGTGTAGCCTGAGCAGCCTTTCTAGATAGAAGGCAGCTTACAGAATCTAGCCCCTTGTTTGCAATAGAATTTCTAGAGGTACTTGGGGGCTCTGCACCACTGTGTTTTTGTGAGTTCTCCATGTCTGCTGGATGTTGCTGTATCATTGACATGACACAGAATGGGGCTAGCTGTAGGATTTTCCTATCATAGGCAAAGTGGAGAATAATGAATATGTTGTTTCCAATTACATTTTGATGTCATAGGCCATCAGGTCTCACTGTAGTCAGGACCTCAAAGTTTATTAAAATGAGGTCACCACTGCTGGCTTAGGCTTGCTGGAACATGGGGCCAGCGCCCAAGCCCCACCACCTGGAGCTGGGGCTCAGGTTACATTCCCCTGCCCGGGACTGAAGCCCTTGGGTTTTGCTTTGATTTCCATTAAGGAGGTGGGACTCAGGTGGGCTCAGGCTTAAGTTCCCTCTCCTGGGGTTGAATAGTAATAATTATTGTCAAAAGGGAGTCGCACTGAAGTTTGAGAACCCCTGCCAGAAGCAGTGGCCTCTGCTGCCTTCAAAAAGAGGAGGTGAAGTTCCCCTACGTCTCAGCAGACACCTGAAAGTGCCTGTCCAAGCGGATAACCTCTGGGTGTTGCAAGCAAAGCTCAAAGGCCTGTATTAAAAAAAAAATAATTTTGAGCTATTGAATCAGCAAAGTGGTAACAACTGTTATATTGCCATCCTTGCTTGTGAATGGGTTGCTTAGCAACAAGTATCACAGACGCAAACTACCTCAAACCACATGAACTCATTCAAATTGACTATTGAACAGCATGTGAGGCCCTGTGTGGCCTCAAATATCAGCGATCAGGCAGAGGGGAGCAAGTTGAGAAGAGACGGGATGAAGGCAAAGAGCTGGGGAGGTAAATGATGATACTGAGAAGGGGAAGGGAAGAAGACCAGTAAAACTGAAGCAATGGGGGAAAAGCGAGGAGACACGAGGTGGCAGAGTTGGGTTGGAAGAGTAGAAATTGTGATGAGAAAATGGCTAAGATAGGTAGACCATAAATAAAGGAAAAGGTAGTGGTCATGGAGCAGGCTCACCACTGCAGCGCCTCCTGCTGGTTCTTGATGATGGACTAGTTTTCCCAGAACAGGGCATGTCCTGCATGCTGGTGTCTCACCTGTCTGTGCTGCACATTCTTGCTCTGGACCCACATAGCTCCCCGACCACAGTGTCCTCTTTGGGACACTGCCCTCCAGCAGTGCCAACTCCAGTGGTCTTTTGTCCCTCTTCCAGCATTCCTTCATTTAGCACCTGCCACCGTGGCTAACTGCAGCCTTAGTCTAGCCCCACACTTGAGGGGTAAACCATAATCCTTCCAGCCCATTACTATGGCTCCTGACCCAGGGTCCCTCTAGCAGCAACCTTGTCCTGCCCTCCTGTACTCCCTCCCCTTTACTGCCTCTAGTTTCCTGGGCCACTTCCCCTGTGACCCTTTGCACCCTCCTGGCCTTTGAAGCAAGGCCTGCAGCCTGGCAGATATCAGGCTGGAGCATCCCTTACAAGCCCACCTGAGCCTGCCCAGAACTGCTGTCCAGAAGGTGCTTCTCCAGGAACCTCCCCTGACAGGGCTTAACTGACTCTGCTGAACAGCTCCCTATATACTGGGCTATACCAGCAAACCACACCTTTTTTTGGCTACTAAAAAGCCTCTCTCTCATTTGCATGGGCTGTGCCCAGGTTCCCTCCTACCTACTTCAACCCCTTCCAGCCAGTGTGGGGGCAGTGGCCCCACCACAGTAATGAATAAAAAGTGTATTGGAGTCAGAAATAAGAAGAAAATATGAAAAATGAAGAGGGATGGTTTAAAAACACAGAGAACCTAAAAAAACCTGGAGTGATTTAGTAAGAGAACATGAGATGCATACTTAGATTCCTATTTGTCAGCCAGCCAGACTGCAAGACAGCTAAAGACATCCATATAGGTCATGTGCAGTTTCATTTATAATTTATCATAAAGTGGCTGAAACAAAAATGGTAAATATATTTTACTTAAAGAAAATCAATGAAACAACATCTAGTTGTTACATTTGTATCTAACCAGATGGATAGCACAATTCAAGGAATTAATTTCAAACAACATGTTTTTTACAGAGGCTGTAGGAATGCTGGTGAAAGACTTAAGATGATAAATCCTGAAGAGGATATTTTTGATAATGAGCTGATGGAGACTATATTAACGAAAACACTTTAATTAGCGAGCTACGGCTGTGGCTCCTCTTCCTGTGTAGATGGGGTGGGTGGATTGATTTTTTTTTTTCTTTTTGTGGCAGGGGAGGATGTAAGGGTGCCATAACATAGAATTTAGTGGGATTGGAACAATGCAACCATACGCAGTAATTTAGTTAATGTGTCCATTGTAAAACTTGGTAGCTTTACTACTTGTGCAAAAGAAGCAGCTGCAGATCCACAAATATCTGCTTCCTAGACCTGCAACTTCTAGAACAAGGCCACCCAACTTTCGAAGCCCCAGAGGCCACAATGATACTCACAGCACATGCCGAGGGCCGCAACTTAAGTGTGGTTGCATATACATACAAATATACATGCAAACAGCTTCTTTCATACTGAATGGCATGAATACAAAGATTAAGGCAAGACTACACAACACACAGGCCCCATTCAAGACAGTTCTGCTGATATTAATAAAATGCAATATTTACCTGATTTCCACCCATATGTAGCACTTTTAATGAGCAATGACAGTCCAGGAATTTAACTACTAAAACGCATATCAACAGAAGACCATTATATTGACTAATTTTTGTTTTGGCTCCCACCAACAGGCCATGTGTTGAGCCCTGCATAAACCCAAAATACACCGTGGGTCACAAACAAACAGGCCATGGGGCTGCATGCAACCTATGGGCTTTCAGGAGTGGTGCAGGGCCAGGGCAGGAATAAGCCTGCCTTAACCCCACTGTTCCACCACCAGTAAGCCATCTTAGTTAAAGTACCCAGCCAGAGCCTGCTTCCGAACTACCTCGTTCCATGAGGAGTAATGGTAGTTCAGAATAGAGAGTCTAATCCGAACTCCCTACTCCGTGCCGCATGTAGCCAAGCCACGGAGTCCGCACTAACGGGGATTTTAAAATGGCGGCGCTCAGCAAGATGCAAATGAAGCCTGGGATATTTAAATCCCGGGCTTCATTTGCAACTTCGAATGCCTACATTAGCCACCCTAGTTCGAACTAGGGTGGCAGTGTAGACATACCCATATTGAGTAGCCCTGCTCTAGAAGATGTGGGACTACATATTTTGTCATTCACTGCTCCTTACTCCTTCCCTTCCTTTCATTTTGTCTACCAGTCTAGCCTCTATTTCATTATGCAGTGTTACCCTACAAGTGTTCTCACATGTTGCCCTTCCTTTCCTTTCAGTGGGTCAGCTGTCTCCCATGCATGGAGCCGTAGTAATGTTGGCATTGTTGTACAGTTACTGACTTTAAAAAAAAAATGCTTGTTGTAAATGTAATGGGAGTGCAGAGACCGCATAACATCAGAGTGGAAGACACAGTTATTAGTCATTCTCATGCAGTTCTAGATACTAGGCAACATCATTTACTTCTGCTTGTGCATGGGCAGCTGTTACAAAAAATCATAACCCTTTGATAGAAATTCTAGGGCAAGGAGAAGAGTTCTCTACATTTATACAGTCAGTTACAGACCTCCCATATTTACTCATGTGCTCACTATTAAAAACTGGCATGTTGGAACCAGTTCTAAATAAATCTATCTAGGGCATCCTAAACAAATCTATCTAGAGTCTTATATTGATGCCTATCACCATAGCATCTGAGTTCCTGAGTAAAAACAAAAAAACTAGAGTGAGCCAGTATTGAGATCATGTATTCTGTAGAAACATTAACTAGCCAGCAGCAGAGACTCAGGCTAGGAGGCTCTGAAGACTAATGATTTCTGTAACTTCTTTGAAAACTTTCAGAATCATCCATAGGCTTTAGGTGGGGACAACTCAAGCAGAACCAGTGGACACTTGGGTGAAGATTGCCATTCAAAATAGGCAACTTTAGTATTGTCTAGTCATAATTTAAAAACTGCAAATTTGTGTCTTGCTACAAATATAAAGTTTAACAATGCTTTAGTAATCCAATTTGCTTTATCATGCTAGTTTTCTCATCCTTTGAACCCTTAATTATAATTAGACATGTATATTTATAGCTAGATTTATTGTAAAAGAAACTTATTAACATTTCTTAAATTTAACAGTAGATGGTGAAGGGATAATTTGCTCAGTCTACAGGTGCACAGATAGCCACCCACTGGGGGAGAAAGAACTGGTGGCTTAACTGTGGCATATGCTCAAATAATGAGAAAAGGAGAAGTGTCAATCAACTCAGAAGTTTCCAAAAGGGACTGATGCCATAAAAAGGGACAACCTCAATCAAGTAGAGGTATAGATAAAAAAGGAAACTGAACTGGTTGTAATATTTTAAGCTGAAGCCAGAAGGAAGACAGGAATCTATTGGCTGTATTGACAATGAATGCTCCTATTTCTAGTTAGGTAGGAAGAAATGTAATTTGGAAGAACCTACAGAAATTGTCCATTGGAAGAAGCTGCAGCAACAGTACTGACTCTCTTATCCATTGATCTTCTTGGGATGGGCTATAGTATGTCCACTGTCAGTGAGGCAATGGTGTGCCAGATTTTTAGTATGCTGCATATGCTTTAGGAGGGCCCTGTCCCTAGGGACTCCCTAGGAAATCCACTTAACACTAATTGTCCGAAAAGTCTAAATTTGTCTGGCATATTTTCAGTGAAGCCTTTTCAACTACCAGTTTTTTCATGGGTTACATCCCTCCCCCTACAGAGGTTACATATTATCCTGACTCACAGTTACCCTAGTTTTACGCAGTAAGGCTTTACAATAATACTGCGGAAAATTGCCATATCTGTCATACCATCCAACAAAGGTACCTATGCACAGTGAGCTTATGTAGAGGTCTGAAATCAATATTCACTGGACACATTAATTCCTGGAGAATCCTGAAATAGCATAGATGTCCTAAAGAGGAATTTGCAAAGCATCCATATTCAAGAGTTTTATGCTAAAGCTGAAAAAGCAAAAGAGTAGGTTTCAGAGCAAGGAATCCAGTGGGGTGCCTTTGAGGACATCAGGTCAGATATCTTTGGAACCTAGCACAGATCAAGAGAGCAGACAAAAAGCCTACACGAGGTGAGAACAATTGTTTGGATTCGTGTAGGAAAATAAAATTGGATTGAATTCGGAGACCAGGAAAAAACTCCAAAGTTACTTGCTTCTTTTATCAATTAAGTTACTTATCTGATACTGATGTGCATAGTATTCATCATCCTAAGCTAATCTGAAAAGGCACATTTGTTCTAATTGTATTTATAAGAGGGATTCATCATCAAATGTTTTTCTAGTGAAGTCCTACAGGTGACCTGGCCACATGTTTTTGTAGGACAGACCGCAGTTTGGGCTTATAAGAAAATCAAAGCCGTTCACAGGTCATTGGCTTGATCACCAAGCCATTAAGTTTCTAAAGTATCACTAATGGCTTTTACTAGAGTATCTGAACTAATAAAAAAGGTTCCCACTTAATATTTCTAATTTCAGGTATAGGAAAGGTACATGCACAAGAATAGAATATACACATTCAAGGGATCAGAGGGTATTGAATGATAGGTTACGTGACCTGTTGCATAAAGCATCTTTGAATTATGCATATTCATGTTCATAAGCCAATTTTTATAAAGCATAAAGGGTCATGACCATGAAAGTCAGAATATAGATGTAAAGAACAAATGCTGAAAATAGAAGTCCATATTTCTCTCTAAAAATGTATGGTGTCCAAATCCCATGAAAGAGATATTAAGGCCTATGAAAATGTTACCAAAGCCATCCTGTGGTTATCAGCAATTAGAAGGTGTATTAGCTGAGAAAATTATTTCCAATGGTTAAACAGCAAAGGCTGAATTAGACTGTTTTTTGACTAATGTATTTTCTCTCTTTGTTGCAGAGGATCACCAGACAGGGATGGAATTGTAAGTATCAAACTCTTGTTATAAAATAATTCTTAATGGCATTCAGTCTGTGTCTAACTAAAAGCATTTTACTCTGCAAATCAGTTTAAGGAAGTCTTACACTTTCTCTATTTCCCTTTAATATAGTAAATACATTTTAAAAGTTTCTTTATGAAAGATCTATTTGTTTAAATCAGAGGAACCCAGTACTTTGTCTGGGAAGATTGTTTATTTTTGATAAATAAACAATCAATATCATTGCAGTACCAAAATATAAAATATGTCAAAGGTAATATTAACTAAAATCAAGCATATGAAAGCTTATTTTTTATTATTCACATTTACTTTTCATGAAAAAAAGATACAGCATTTTCTCCAATGGATTAATAATCTGTAAAATTATTATGTGTGACAAATTTGACTATTTTTTGTGCCATTTTTATTTTCTATATTAAATTGAAAATAGGAAAGTAATTGCTTTTAAATTTTGGCTGCTTTAACTTAGTTTTAGGAATGAATGTCCCTACTAAAATTAGAGGGTCTTGATTCCTAAATTTCAAGTTTGCAAAGAAGTATGTTGGGTTCAGACGTGGATTTTACTGTAAGTCTTTTTTAGGAGATTTTGTACTCAGATTTAAAAAGCTCACACTTAAAATAAAAATCAGGAACATGTTCAAAGGGAAAACCGATGCAGCTGGGAAACTGTTGTAGTTGCTCTGCACCATGTTCAGAGCTCTGGAATGGAAACTAAACCAGTCATTAAAAATGTCACGTGTCTCTCCTGTAAAATCACAAAAAAATTGGAATGCCAAATTCTAGCCTGAAAAGGCTGAAGTCTTTGGCGTCTGACCCAATATCCTTAGCTTCTGGATAACACTGCACTCCATAGAACCCTTTGTCATTAATTGTTAAACAATGTCAAGAAATGAAGTTTAGAATCAAGGCTCTATTCATCAGAAAAAAAAGGGAGAAATGTAGTTTTCCAGTTTACACGAACCTGTGGAATGTATAAATCTGTTTTCGCTAGTCTTCAACTTCTTTTGCTCCTTTCCCTTTCCTTTTTCTTTTTTGTCTAAGCTGGATTCTTCCTCCTGTCCTCTACTTTCTATTCTGCTGCTCACAGAGGACATGTCTACACTGGGTAGTTATTTCAAAATAATTCCCCTTATTTCATAAACAGGAGAGTGTCCACGCTGCCAAGCCTGTTATTTCGAAATAACAACTCCTGCTTGTGACGAGGAATAAGCTTATTTCAGAATAGCTATTTCGGGAGTTATTATTTCAAATAACTTATTTCAAAATAACCTGGTAGTGCAGGCATAGCCAGACTGTTTCTTCTCTCTTTTCTATGTCAGCTGCAGTCACGGGTTTGCCTTATCTCTTCTCTGAGTACATTATTCCTTTTGTTTCAGTTGCAACGCAAGTTTCCCTTTTTCCCTTTGTACTTTCCCAGGTCTCCTGTAAATGCGACACTTACCTAGAGATATAGATATGAGGGGAATTCTCTCCTCCATCTGTGTGTCACGTATACAGATGTAACTACAATGTGCTTCTTGTAGCAAAACAAAAGTGTAAGGTGATGTCTCCCCATATATGAAGTCTAAGAATGAAGTGTTTCAGAGGGGTAGCTGTGTTAGTCTGTTTTAGCAAAAACAGTGAGGAGTCCTTTGGGACTTTCTGATGAAGTGGGCTCCAGACCACAAAAACTTGTATCCAAATAAATTTGTTTAGTCTTTTAAGGTGCCACGGGACCAGTGTTCCCTTCCCTCTAATTTTTTATGTGCACTGAGGCATGTGGTGATGTTCACTACCAGTAGAAACACATGCTACCAGCTGTGGGCATCTCTCTTGAGTGGCCGCCTAAGTGTGCAGCTTATAGGGAACACTACACAGGACTCCTCATTTTTTTAAGAATGTAGAATTGACTTAATAGATTAAAAGATCCAGCCCTGAACTTTCTGAAACCAATGGGAAAAGTACTATTGATTTCAGTGACAGCAGGCTCGAGTGCCAAAGTTGTGGGTTGCTTGTCAAACCACATCAGGGCTTTTTTGTTGAGGATTCTAAAGAGGAGCAGAAGTTGCTGCTGTAGTTAGAGCTAGTATTACAGACACTCTTCAATAGCAAACAGTAATTTTATTGTCCATGTTAACAAGTCATTCAACTAGAGAGAGATTGAGAGAGCAAGCATGAAAATGACTCTCTAGCTTTGTGATTAGAGCCCTCAACCAGGATCCAGTTCCCTTTACTTATCTACGGTAGAATGTCTTCCGCATAAGAGACTAAGGAAGCCTCACATGAGAATATCACATAGTCCTTTGGACATTCATCTGAGAGGTAGTAGATTCCTGTCCCAGTCCCTTCTCCTCCTCAGGTGGAAGGGGGACTTACAACCAGTGGTCTCACATGCTCCAGCTTTGTAGTGGTGGATTAACTACTGGGTCAATGGGGCCCAGGCACAGGGACCCTAGCCTATTGGAACCCCCAGAAAAAAACAGTGCCTCCGTGCCCTGATCCCACTCCTGGGCAAGAGCACTGGTGAGGGAGCACGGGGGAACGTCAGGCAGAATGAGTTAAGTGGGACATCTGCTTGCTCAGACCCAGAGCTCCACAAACCCCTAATCCAATGTTGCAGGTTTGTAACCTAATGACTGGGCTAAAACGTATGAGG